AACTTCGTGCCATAATGCGTTTTTGAATTTCTTTGCTGGTATCATTTTCGGCGGTCAACAGTGAGACCACCACGATTTCGTCATCGTCAATCTTAACCCGGGGTGGGAGGCTAACATTCGTCTTCGATGCGTTGATGGCAAGTTCAATCCGCCTAGCTTCAGCCTTCAGTCTGATGTACGTTTCCTCCATCGCCTCAAAGTTCCGTGCCATGATGCCGATGTCATCGGCGAAGCCTAGAAGCTGGATGGACTTCCTGAAGATCGTGCCACTCGTGTCTATCCCAGCTCTTTTGATCACACCTTCTAACGCGATGTTGAATAGCAGACACGAAAGTTCATCACCTTGCCGTAACCCCCTTCGAGATTCAAAGGGACTCGAGATTGTCCCCGATACTCGAACAACGCACATCACTCGAACCATCGGCGACCAATCGCGTCAGTTTATCCGGAAATTCGTACTCGTGCATAATCTGCCATAGCTGATCTCGATCGATTGTGTCCAGCATGGTCCAGAAATCCAACTTTCGCCATTATTGTAAATTAGCCATACGACACCTTCCATCCACTCCTCCTCGTGTAATATCTCCTCCTCTTAAATCTTGGCAAATACCCAGTGCTGCGATCTAGTCAGTGCTTCACCACCGTATTTTAATAGCTCACTTAGTAGTTCCTGCTTTGTTGTCCTTCAGCCGACCAATCTCCTGCTCAGCTTCTTGAAGATCAGGGGCCGGTAGCTTGTCATCTTCTGCGCGTACTCCAAGGTCAGTTGCCGTGCCACCTTCGTGTTCTACTATATAACCGTTGAGGTGCTCGCCATAGCACTGCTTCCACCTCTCAATCACCTCACACTTGTTCGTGAGAAGGTTACCGTCCAAGTCCTTGCACATATCGGCTTGCAGCACGTAGCCTTTACGCGAACTATTCAGCTTCTCGTAGAACTTCCGTGCGTCGTTTACGTGGGACAGATTTTTCATCGCCTCGCGATTTCAGTCTTCCTGCTTACGCTTCTCATGGAAAACCGAGTTTTGTCTGTTCCGCGCTTGCCTGTATTGCTCCACATCCAATCTCATGCGGTGTTACAGCATTCTCGCACGTGCTGTATTCTTCTCCTCTACTAACAGTTTGCATTCGCCGTCAAACCAGTCATATCTTCGGTCCGGGATAGCAGTACCTAGTGCCGCTGCAGCAGTACTACCTATGGCGGAACGGATGTCCCTCTAGCCATCTTCAAGAGTAGCTGCGCCAAGCTGCTCTTCCGTGGGTAGTGCAACTTCCAGCTGCTGCGCGTAATCCTGGGCAACTCCGGCGTCCCGAAATTGCTCAATGTTGGGTCGCGGCGTTCGACTTCGACGGGTGTTATGCACCGTCGACAGTTTTGAGGGCATGCATTCTGCAACTAGGTAGTGGTCCAAATCTATGTTTGCACTGCGGTACGTGCGGACGTTGATAATGTCGGTGAAGAATTTCCCGTCGATTAGAACGTGATCGATTTGGTTTTCTGTGTGTTGGTCAGGTGAGCTCCAGGTGGCTTTGTGGATATTTTTGCGGGAGAAAAAGGTACTTCGGACTACCATACCCCGAGAGGCAGCAAAGTTCACGCTTCGTTGGCCGTTGTCGTTCGATACGGCATGCAGACTGTTTATCCCGATTGCCGGTCTGTGCATTGCCTCCCGTCCTACCTGAGCGTTCATGCCGCCGATTACTATTTTGACGTCCCGTTGCGAACAGCCGTCATACACCTGCTCCAGCTGCGCATAGAACGATTCTTTATCGTCGTTGGGTCTCCCTTCGAGTGGGCAGTGCACGTTGATGATGCTATAGTTGAAGAAACGGCCCTTAATCATCAACTTGCACATCCTAGCGTTGATCGGCTGCCAACCAATCAAGCGTTGGCGCATCTTACCCAGCACTACAAAGCCGGTTCCCAGCTTGTTGGTGGTGCCACAGCTCTGGTAGAAAGTAGCCGCTCGATGCACGCTTTTCCATACCTTTTGTCCCGTCCAGCAAAGTTCCTGCAGTGCTACGACTTCGAAGTTGCGTGGTTGAAGTTCGTCATAGATTAACCTATCGCAACCCGGGAAGCCGAGCGATTTGCAGTTCCATGTTCCGAGTTTCCAATCGTAGTCCTTATAGGTCTGTGCCGATTGTTCCGATCCGTATTTCTTTCTTTGGTATTTGCAACTTTATATTTTTTTCCAGAGCGGCTTGTTAGGCCTGGCACAACCCCCTGTCTTGCCGGGGGACCATCGTACACAGCTCTGTTTAGAGTCCCACGCTGGCACTAGGACGGTGATCAGCCGCTCCTAACATGGAGAACAGACGCCATTTTGAGCCACACCTCCATGGTCAACAGACGCTCGGGTTTGGTGAAGTATTGCCTCTATCACCGTACTATGGTTACCGCGCCAGTGTTGCCAGTCCTGCAACAGCAAAGTGAAGAGCTGCGACCACTTTACTATTGCCAGGACTGTCAACATTGTCCAGCCAACCAGCTGTGGTCATATTCCAGCTGGTAGTATTTTGTTATCATATGACTAGGGGAGGCATGATGTAGGAACTTGTGAGGACCAGAGCTAGGTATTCCGCTTCTTCCAGGTTGTCAACACACCATTTTGTAGCCGTAAAATTTAATTAAAGTTCAATTAGACTAGTTCGAAAAACTAAACTAAAATATTGCGTTTGTTAATGTCTAAAATATCCTTCTTTTGTCCTCGGAACAAGTTCCAGAAGCCTTGGAGGCAGTGGCCAATTGTTGATTTCAAGAAAAACCAGTTGTGAGCCATATCAATATGCTCATACGTTTACGGGCAATTCATTACAGACTGACCAGAGTGACCATGGATAAAATAGGGAAAGAAACAGAAATCAGTCGTTTGACGCATCAAAATTTTCATATTTTTTGGGACCATTGATTAGACCAACAGCCTGATGACCCTGGGACAGTCTCCGGAAGCCCCAGGTAAATGGCCAATCTCTGATTGCAACAGAAACCAGTCGTTTGACGCTTCAAAATGTTCATATGTCAATAGACTATTCATTGGAGATCCTGATCATAGTGACAATGATCACCTGATGGCCATGGAAAAGGTTCCGGATGTCCAAAAAAAAAACAATCTCTGATTGCAACAGAAACCAGAATGTTATGGCATTTCCATTAGAAACCATACCAGCTGATCAGACTGACAATAGTCAACCGATGGTCCCGGAACAAATTCCCGAAGTGGTGGAGCCAATGAAGACGATAGCTGATCCTTGAGACGCTAGTTTTTTCGGAGAATCTCCTCGATTAATTTAATTTTCTCGGAAGTTCAGAAAAGTTGAAAAGGTCTTTTGGTCTCTAATGTAACCCAAAATATTACTAATACGACTGTAAAAAAAAAACAAACAAAGTTCACCAATTTCAACTACATCTCAGAATAGAACATAAATTGTATAACCCAATGACTCATGAAAAAGAACAACTTTCCAGCTGCGGCTCTTCATCATTTAAATTCAATTTACGTTCGTCTTCCATCGTCAAATGCCTTTTGCCTTTTTTGGACATTTCAAAGCTTCCTCCATCAGAATAGTAAGACTTTTTCGGCACGTAATGGGCACCGTCAACTTCCAGCTCTACGGATCAGTAAGAAGCTGTAGAAGGCCTGACATCACTTCTCTCGGCTAGTGTACAAAGTAGATACACGGAATCAAGTGTCGGAAAGTTGCATTCGCTTCTGCTACAGTAACTAGAGCAATCGTGTCCCGGTCCACGATGGCAACATTAGAAATGGGTTTATTTGCCTTCCTCTCGTCTGGTGACACGTTGAATCGGCCAGCTCGATGTGATCAGAAAGCCTAACGATGTGCCATACTTGGGGTTCGCTTTGGAATAGCAATAACAATGCACACATTACATCATCATCGTTCTCGTTTCCATATGGACAAGCATTCGGATTATGTGCATGGGACTGATGCAAATGACTCGGAATAGTTTCCTGTCTGGGCCCTGCATCAACTCAGCAATCAACCAGCTGGCAGTTGACCGATGATTTCACTCCGTCCCATCGAATGACCAAAGCACTCATTCATTCGAAATGTCATCGTCGCCCAAAGCCTTTCTGTGCTTTATGAGCGCACTCTTGCCCGTTGTCGGAGACCAGGACCAGACCACCACCATAAACGGCACCAACATGTTAGTTTACTATTGCTCTGCACTCTGTTGGGGTGCATAATTTATGAATGTGGGACATACCATCTCCGACAGTTGCCTGGATATAACTTCTGGGCCGGGGAAGGATTCTATGTTGTTCGTGGGATGAGCACTGTTGTCCGTTCCGTGAAACGAGATGTAGAATTTACTTCGAAAGGTAAGGTAGTCACACCTACACGTAAAACAAATTTATCTTACATCAAATGTAAGGTGAGATTTATTATGTCCTCGGCATATGTTTCATACAACAAATGTAATGGCAGTTCTTAGAAAGGACTACAAGCAAGCAAGTTTTTCCAGAATGTATATTTTTGTATAAAACCTTGATGAGATGGTTTTCTAGAAGCAATTGAGGAAACAAAGTATGTTCGAAAATTACATAAAAATTACAAGATTATTCAAAAACTCCCCAGCAACACATTATAGAATCTGTTCATGTCACGAAACATTGCAAATTATGCATAATTTTCATGCAAATCTGTAATAGAATCTTACATTTCGCGGTTGGGTGTGAGGTGAATGATTTGTTTTAGAAGCTACATTTAAGTAACTTTCCTATGAGCCGTTTTTGGCAGTAATTGTTCCTAGAACTTATCCATTCCAACCCAAGATTAGTTTAAAAACTCCAGCGAAAGAAGACTGTACAAAATACCCACAAAAAATGGTTCAATCAATTTGTTTCAAATATTTTTTTTAGTTTCCAGAACGCTTGATACATCAAGCAGCCCTTCAAACTCAAACGTCATCGTTTGACCTCCAGGAAAACCCCAACAATCAAAAACGGAAATGAATCATCTTAGTTGAAACTCACCTCTGGTATATCGTCCGGCACCTTTCCCATCCACGACAGCGACAGTATCGAACAGTCGCACTTGGTGTTGGTGCTTTTTTCAAAGTGCAGATGCATCCTGAAGCAACTTCTCGGTTAAACCTCTCCTCAGCTAGCGGCTAGAAGAAATCAGTGTTGACAATTCCCTCCCACACTTGCACTGTATGCACTGTTTTCAACCAACAGCGCCTTAACAAACAGGAATATGAATTTCACCGTTGTTGCTGATGTTCACCATTCTCTGCTTATCCTTATCTCTTTTTCACATCACTTCACAGGCACGCTTGTCTACGATTCATAGCTGCCATTTTTTTCACCATCACCGACAACATCGACTTATGCAGGCGAAAAGCTATCTGTTGTACTTTTCTGTCACTCAATACGGTTGCGACCTGTTGACGGAAGAAATTGAAAAATGGATCAGTATGAGTATGTGAAGCTTTAAGAATGTAATCAAGATTCAATTTTCAATTCAGCTGTTTTCAGCCGTAACTTTTGTAACGAATGGAAAGCTCGCCATTGCTAGCAATGCATAGCGAGCTTTCTCCATGGCACAAGAACTGTATGAATAGCGACTTCTGGACACGGCTTCCCTCTTATAACCGAACAGAGAACATCGACTTAGGAAAGGGAAATGACAGCTACAAATAACATTCCATGGAGACGGAAAAGGTGAAAACAGTATGCTACTGAAGGCAAACCACACGTTGGCCTGTGACTGACCGTTAGCTTTCCAATAAGACTCAACGGAAGTCCACGGTCATAACGGTAATATGTTTGGTTGTCACGTGGCAGCACCATATGCGAATCTTTCCTGACGGAGCGTCGTCCGGTACAATTTTAGGAACAAACGCAATCGATTTTCATGCTCAGCTGTCACTGACTGGCTCCAGTCAGCTACGAACGATGCGAAGGAACGATAGCAGCAATAAGGGGCCAGTCTTGTGCTTGCATGGCAATTTATTCACGGTTTCTGCACCGGACAGTGACAGTTAGGTATACACACACTGTTAGTGCAAGATGTCTGGCATCTATATGAAGGTCCTTGGAATTAAAGCATCAATTTCCCGGTGGTTTTCCCCATCGCGTGATTCGGGAAATAACACTTTCGAGTTCCCGGGAAAGCCCGAGGTCCCGGGACGTAAGCAAAGGTATGGGAAACATGTAAATAATTGTTAGTTTCATTTGATTTAATATCGAGTTCCGGAAAACGTATGTTTGTATTTAACAATTGTCCAACTTCACTGTTCATATCTTGAATGGAATGAAATTGTGTGTACATACGGGGAGAAAAGTATGAAGAGCACGGTAGGTAAGATACACCGGGGCAAGTTGAAACGGTTTTTTTTTTCAAAGATGAACTTTGAGGCTCTCTGGAAAAATAATGAAGTAGGGGAAATGTTGGCTTCGGCAATACCTTAACCTATTATCGTCAGGGGGTAAACAACGTCCTTGTGAGCTCAATTTTGGCATGTGGATAACGGGTGTTCAATAAAAAATTAAACTTTGTTCAGTCATATAGCTAGTACAAAAAAATTTTTTTTTCAACGAATTCAGTATTTTTTATTAAAAACATAATGTTTATTCTTCAAAAAAACGTCAATGAATATTGGAGAAGGGGCCCTGGTCAGCCGTACGATGCAACTTAGTCGCGATGCTCTCACAAGAGCGCTGGATGGCACTGAAATCATTTTATTTTTTTATTGAACACCCGTTACATTATGTTTCAGAGCATCTATTGGCCAAATTTAAATGCTCTAGGGCTTTGCTTACCCCCTGACCATAATAGGTTAAGGTATTGCCGACAGGCATGGAAAATCATTTGCATTCATTTCGTGCATTCATTTACATTCATTTGCCTCTAACTTTCTTTTGTCAACAGCATTCCGCAAAACAATGTATAAAGCTTTTGTAGGTTTAGTTATTAGCTACCACTTTTGTTAAGAAGTCAAATCCGTATTTCTTATGCATGACGAAGCAGAACGAACAGAAGCCACTACTGTTTTTCAGTGAATGTATTTTACATTCACTGAAAAACAGTAACAAGTTCTGCCCGCTCTAGTTCGTGATGCATAAGAGATACAGATTAGAGTTATGAGCAAAACTTGTAGTTATTAACAAAACCTACAAAACCTCTATACATCATTTTGCGGAATGCTGTTGAACAAAAAAGTTAGAGGCAAATGAATGTAAATGAATGCACAAAATGAATGCAAATGATTTTCCATGCCTGATTGCCGAAGCCAAAATCTCCCCTATCATAAACTGGATGTTTTTGCACCAATTTTTTTTTTAAAGCGTCTTCTAACACGAACAAATATTAAACTATAGTTTAGATCCAAAAAACTTACTCTTTTATAATGATGCAAATATGATAACCCATACAGTGGGGTAAGTTGATCAATCTTTCGTGATTAATGGCAAACCACTTTATGTTACGCTAAGAGATGAATTAACTTCGCTATCAATGGAACTACTTAGTAAAATGCGCGAATATCAAGAGTCTCTCAGACTAAAGTACGTATGGCCAGGAAGAGGAGGTGGTATTCTTGTTAAACAGGATGAAACTTCTAAACCGGATGTAATCAAAACTAGGGAAGATTTGAAACGTGTAATTGCTTACTATACTGCCCAACTCAAGCAATCCCCGTCGCCCAAACGAAAAAAAAATTAATAGAAGAACTAAAAAAAACATCATATGTTAAATTTATTTGTATACCAGTGTATCTTTATATTCTTTCTCAATAAATGGTTCAAACATTAAATTATTACCACAACCACATTGATGATTTCAATTCAACCTATGGGGAAGTCTCTTTCAAACACTTACGTGTATTACAGTGGAATGTTCGGGGTATCAACGATTTGCATAAATTTGATGACATTTTATTGTCAATTGATCACTTGGTGGTTCCAATTGATGTTATTATTGTTGGAGAAACATGGATTAAAGAGGGAAATTCTTCACTATACAAGATTGATGGCTATCACAGCATTTTTTCGTGTAGAGACAGTTCATCGGGAGGCTTAGTTATGTATATAAGGAACTCAGCTAAGTATAACATTATTGGAATCGTTTCTAGTGATGGTTTTCATCATATTCATGTTGAGTTGGTAATAAATGGAGGCAGTTACGATGTTCACGGTGTGTATCGTCCACCTTCATATGATTTCAATTTATTTCATGACTTTTTAGAAGGTCAGATGGTCAGAAGTAGTGTTAATCGTCCATGTTTGTTATTAGGTGATATAAATGTACCAGTTAACTTGGCCAATAACAATGTAGTCCTCAAATATAAGTATCTTTTGCAATCTTATGGCTTTATTTGTTCAAATACATATGTTACGAGACCTGCTAGTTCAAATATTCTTGATCACGTTTTATGTAAAATGGCTGATGTTCATCGTCTTTGTAATCATACTATTTCCAGTGATTTAAGTGATCATTCTTTAATATTGTCTGAGTTTAAATTGAATGTTGGATCAAATCGGATTGTTCTGTCAAAAAATGTGATCAACCATGATAAACTCGAGAATGAGTTCAAAAGATACCTCGAAGGTATTGGTCCTGTTCAAAATCCTAATGAATGCCTAGAAAACATAATTGCTACATATAACAGTATTCTCACAGATTGTAGCAAAACTGTAAATAAAATAGCTAATATCAAAGGGACACAATGCCCTTGGATGGACTTTAATTTGTGGACGTTGGTAAAAATTAAGAACAACTACTTTAAAAAATCTCGCAGAGACCCAAATAACGCGAGATTAGCTGAACTTTTAAATCATGTTTCAAAAAAATTAGATGTAGCTAAAAAGCAAGCCAAAAAAAGATATTTTGAAAACTTACTAAGCAATACTCCACATTCAAAACTGTGGAAAAATATTAACGCAATACTAGGAAGTTCTACCAACAAATCAAAATTGTCATTGCTCATCGATGGTGTTCCTACTACTGACAGTAAAACTATGTGTGATGCATTCAATAAACATTTTTCAACAGTTGGACCTAATTTAGCAGCAAAAATAAATGTTTCAAATGAAAATCCATTACGATACATAAACCCTATTTCTGATTCAATTTTTCTACAACCATCATCTGTCATCGAAGTTATACTACTGATTAATGACCTAAAGGCCAACAAATGTCCAGGTCCTGACAATATCCCTGCCAAAATAATTAAAAATAATGTTGTTATATTTTCGAGAATTCTGTCTGAATCCTTCAATTTAATGATTCAAACGGGTTCGTATCCAGATTGTCTCAAAACAGCCAAAGTAGTGCCTATATTTAAGTCAGGAGATGCAACCCAAGTCGATAATTATCGACCCATATCAACCCTATCAGTTTTCAACAAAATATTTGAAAAGTTATTAATCACACGCCTGATAAGTTTTTTAGATAGGCATAATATACTGTATAGTATGCAATATGGTTTTCGCAGCGGAAGTAGCACCTCTGTTGCCGTAGCTGAGCTTGTAGACCAAATATTGGAAGAAACAGATTCAAAAAAAGTAGTGGGCGCCTTGTTTCTTGACCTGAAGAAGGCATTTGACACTCTCAACCACGATATTTTACTAAGGAAATTAGAACGATATGGAATCAGGGGAACCGCAAACAGCATTATCCGCTGCTATTTGAGCAACAGAAGTCAATATGTTTCATGCGATGGAGAAATAAGCTCTAGAAGAGAAATTAGTACTGGAGTTCCACAGGGAAGTAACATTGGCCCTTTAATTTTCCTTATCTATATCAACGATATTAGCAACATTAATCTCGTTGGAACTCCCAGGTTATTTGCTGACGACACGGCCTTATTTTATCCACATGTCAATTTGAATATAATTGTTTCAAAGATGAATCAGGATTTACGGTTGCTCCAGGGTTATTTTTCGGTAAATCTTCTCTCATTGAACCTGAAAAAAACCAAGTACATGATCTTTCGGTCACCTAGGAAAATTCTACCACAAGCACCAATTTTAGCTATGAACACTGACATTATCGAGAAAGTAGACTCATTCAAATATCTGGGAGTTTATCTAGATTCTACGTTATCGTGGGATTATCACATAAATAAGGTTGCAAGCAAAGTTTCTTCCATGTGCGGAATTTTGAGACGTGCTAGTAGTTTTCTTCCGCTAAAGGCTATGCTTCTTTTCTATTTTGCACATATTCATTCTCATTTGAGCTACTTGATTATTTCATGGGGTAGAGCTGGTAAGTCAAAATTGAAAAAACTGCAAACATTGCAGAACCGCTGTCTTAAAATTATTTATAAATTGCCATTTTTATATCCTTCAGCTCAATTATACACCGATGTATCCAATAAAATATTACCAGTCCTTGGATTGTGTGAAGAGCAAACTTTGCTAATGGTTCATAATGTTCTAC